AGAGTCCCTCCTGTCGGAGCTGTCTGGCGTCCCGACTGTCTATCTGGACATCTGCCTCATCTTCCGCTATCTCATAGCCATGGCTACTGATTCCTTTGACAAGTAAGTTTATCAGGGCATGTGTTGAATAGATCACACAGTCCACCTTCAGCGTTCATGCCGACTTTCTGATTCAGCTTGAAAAGTTTGGTCCTACAGGATTTACTTCTCTATAAAACCTGACGGGGTGATTCACTTTTCAAGCTACTGGGAATGGATGTCCCCGCGGTTTTTCAGTGAGACAGGAAATGTGATCTGCGGGCCGCTTTCTTCGACGGCCTCCATCATGATCATCTTAATTTTCCTCCTGGGATCCTATTTACAGCTTATAAGGGCTCAGTCTGGTGATACGCAGCTAAACGCAGACTAGAATGTTGGTGTTGCCTTCTGTGCAAGAGGCCATACCGGAAAATCTGTTTGTGTGAATTTCGTTTCCTCCCCCTCCCCTCTCGTTCTTTTTTTGCCTTCTCCAACAGGCACTCGCTCGATCCAGACCAACCTCCGCGTGACTCTGATCCGTTTGCGGTGTACGAAGCACCCGGCACCTCGCCAAAGGGTATAGCTTCGTCACTCACTGCCCAGCGTCGTTTCTTTGCCTCCAGTCCGCTTATTGTGCACAGCGGAGCTGTATTAGTCATCCTGCGACTACTCCCTTCAATCATTGAGCCGCCGAAGACGTCGAAGATAACTGCGGTGGCACTTCAGGTTAGTCCACCTCCTAAGTGTTGGACCGCTTGCCTACTTTAAATAATAATCATTATCATCACCATCACCACAAAGTCTACAATCAATGCGCCCTTTCTAGTCCCCAATACTGTTGCTATAAATATATTCCAATGCTCCCACCTCCACACTTACAGAGCACTCTGCGCAAGAATTAAAATAGCCTACCGAACTTTGTGGTATAAGTCAAGGAGAAATATGTTTTGGGGCCGTCGCTGGCCGTGTTTGACGGAATCCTCGCTAGTCTGAGTTTTTACCATTTTCTTAAAGGTAAATGTTAAAAACAATTAGTTTACAAGTAGAAGTAAAAGAAAATATTCCGGCGGTCTTCATCCCTCTTTCTTCAAATGTAGAGGTTCGTAGCAGCAGAGTTAATTTTAAGTGTGAAAAATGACAGACAATTATTTCAACCAACCACCAGGGTTAAGTACGGTCATTTAGTTTTTAGGAGCCAAGTTCGAGGGTCAAGCTTTATATACATGTCTGAAGGACAGTGCTTTAATATTCCTATGAGAAAGTAGGTTAGATTACTATCCCAAATTTGAAAGGATGCCTTTGCTTCGTCTAATTCCTCCTGGTAAAGTGCAAACGGGAGGGGGGCTAAACAAAGCTCACTTCGAAAAAGTATTCACACAAAGTTGCCCTCTTTCTATCCTCGAAATTGAAAGTGATGCCAGAAAGTATATAGGAAACCCTACAAAAATACAGCGAAGAAGAAACTTTCTCCCCAGCCAGGATGCCATGTTTCCGGGCTTTTGTCCTTCGCTGTTTATCTGTAGCCTTTCCTGTATGCTTTCTGACATTGCTCTCAATTTCAAAGAGGGAGAAAATTCCCTGGGGATAATTTTCAAACTGCATTTTGTTGAAGTTGCCTCCCTCCTCCTCGTTTGCACTTTAACGTACAATTAAGTTAATTTTCACTTCGTTGAACTGGCTGGCTGCCTGTTGCACTCGCCTGCCCAACCGACATTAAGTTCTGTGTTTAATATGCGTAGAAATGGCTTCACTCTATGCGCATCGGCACTACGAGTTTAAGAACCACGTTGGCCGAGTTTTCTAAGTTAATTGACTCATCGGCCAGGATTTCGACTGGTGTTCAAGCCCCATCCACCCCATTCCTTAT